CATCAACTAAACATATTTCCAGGAAGTGTCTTGTCTACTTTGTCAGGTAAACACAACACATCAACAATTTATTCCTCCAGGAAGTGTCTTGTCTACTTTGTCAGGTAAACACAACACATCAACTAAACATAATTCCAGGAAGTGTCTTGTCTACTTTGTCAGGTAAACACAACACATCAACTAAACATACTTCCAGGAAGTGTCTTGTCTACTTTGTCAGGTAAACACAACACATCAACTAAACATACTTCCAGGAAGTGTCTTGTCTACTTTGTCAGGTAAACACATCACATCAACAATTTATTCCTCCAGGAAGTGTCTTGTCTACTTTGTCAGGTAAACACAACACATCAACAATTTATTCCTCCAGGAAGTGTCTTGTCTACTTTGTCAGGTAAACACAACACATCAACAATTTATTCCTCCAGGAAGTGTCTTGTCTACTTTGTCAGGTAAACACAACACATCAACTTAACATACTTCCAGGAAGTGTCTTGTCTACTTTGTCAGGTAAACACATCACATCAACAATTTATTCCTCCAGGAAGTGTCTTGTCTACTTTGTCAGGTAAACACAACACATCAACAATTTATTCCTCCAGGAAGTGTCTTGTCTACTTTGTCAGGTAAACACAACACATCAACTAAACATACTTCCAGGAAGTGTCTTGTCTACTTTGTCAGGTAAACACAACACATCAACTTAACATACTTCCAGGAAGTGTCTTGTCTACTTTGTCAGGTAAACACAACACATCAACTAAACATACTTCCAGGAAGTGTCTTGTCTACTTTGTCAGGTAAACACAACACATCAACAATTTATTCCTCCAGGAAGTGTCTTGTCTACTTTGTCAGGTAAACACAACACATCAACTAAACATACTTCCAGGAAGTGTCTTGTCTACTTTGTCAGGTAAACACAACACATCAACTAAACATACTTCCAGGAAGTGTCTTGTCTACTTTGTCAGGTAAACACAACACATCAACAATTTATTCCTCCAGGAAGTGTCTTGTCTACTTTGTCAGGTAAACACAACACATCAACAATTTATTCCTCCAGGAAGTGTCTTGTCTACTTTGTCAGGTAAACACAACACATCAACTTAACATACTTCCAGGAAGTGTCTTGTCTACTTTGTCAGGTAAACACAACACATCAACAATTTATTCCTCCAGGAAGTGTCTTGTCTACTTTGTCAGGTAAACACATCACATCAACAATTTATTCCTCCAGGAAGTGTCTTGTCTACTTTGTCAGGTAAACACAACACATCAACAATTTATTCCTCCAGGAAGTGTCTTGTCTACTTTGTCAGGTAAACACAACACATCAACTAAACATACTTCCAGGAAGTGTCTTGTCTACTTTGTCAGGTAAACACAACACATCAACAATTTATTCCTCCAGGAAGTGTCTTGTCTACTTTGTCAGGTAAACACAACACATCAACTAAACATACTTCCAGGAAGTGTCTTGTCTACTTTGTCAGGTAAACACAACACATCAACAATTTATTCCTCCAGGAAGTGTCTTGTCTACTTTGTCAGGTAAACACAACACATCAACAATTTATTCCTCCAGGAAGTGTCTTGTCTACTTTGTCAGGTAAACACAACACATCAACTAAACATACTTCCAGGAAGTGTCTTGTCTACTTTGTCAGGTAAACACAACACATCAACAATTTATTCCTCCAGGAAGTGTCTTGTCTACTTTGTCAGGTAAACACAACACATCAACTAAACATACTTCCAGGAAGTGTCTTGTCTACTTTGTCAGGTAAACACAACACATCAACTAAACATATTTCCAGGAAGTGTCTTGTCTACTTTGTCAGGTAAACACAACACATCAACAATTTATTCCTCCAGGAAGTGTCTTGTCTACTTTGTCAGGTAAACACAACACATCAACAATTTATTCCTCCAGGAAGTGTCTTGTCTACTTTGTCAGGTAAACACAACACATCAACCTACTTTGTCAGGTAAACACAACACATCAACAATTTATTCCTCCAGGAAGTGTCTTGTCTACTTTGTCAGGTAAACACAACACATCAACTAAACATAATTCCAGGAAGTGTCTTGTCTACTTTGTCAGGTAAACACAACACATCAACAATTTATTCCTCCAGGAAGTGTCTTGTCTACTTTGTCAGGTAAACACAACACATCAACTAAACATACTTCCAGGAAGTGTATTGTCTACCTTGGGGTAGGCACGAAAACACATCAACCCAACATAATTCCAGGAATTGTCTTTTCTGCTTTTATCAGGTAAACACATCCCATCAACAATTTATTCCTCAGGAAGTGTCTTGTGTCTGCTTTTGTGGAATTAGAAAGCACAACACATCAACAATTTGTTTCTCCGGGGTAGTGGCGTATTGTTTACTTTTGTCAGGTAAACACAACACATCAACTAAACATACTCAAGGAAGTGTCTTGTCTACTTTGTTTCAGGAATAACGGGCCCCTTAGACAGCATGAAAAGTGGTTACTTAATGGGCAAAGGCTGGAAGTTGTCTCATACTACAGGTACTTGGGTATTGTGTTTACTCCTATACTAGTTTGGACTAAAGCTCACACTACTCTTGCTTCTCAAGCCAATAAAGCCCTTATGGCTATCTTTAGATATAAAAAAAGAGTAGGTTATCTGTCATGTGCGGATATTTTTAAAGTATTTGATGCTATGGTTAAACCTATTCTTTGTTACGGTTCAGAAATTTGGGGTGTTACCCATTGTAAAATCATTGAACAAATCCAGATAAAGACATGTAAATATTTCTTTAAAAGTTGGTAAAAATACATGCAACAATATGGTTCTTGGTGAATGTGGCAGATTCCCTCTTCAACTTACTTATATGTCAAGGGCAGTTAAATATTGGTGTAGACTTTTAACTCTTCCAAGTTGTAGATTACCTCATCAGTTTTATTTAATGCTTAAGTCTTTGGATGAATCTGGACGGACAACATGGGCATCTCATATCAAGAATATTTTATTTAGATTTGGGTTTGGCTTTGTTTGGATTTCACAGGATATTGGAGATATTGATGGTTTCATTTCTGTTTTTAAGCAAAGATTGTCCGATAATCTTTCACAAGATTGGTACTCATCCCTACATAGTACAACCAAGTGTTCTAATTATATTCTTTTCAAGTCCCTCCTGAATGTTGAAACTTATCTCAGTTTAGGTATTGCCCCATATTTAAGAAATTGTTCAACAAAAATTAGATGCGATAAATTTAAACTTAGTTCTGAGACCGGTAGATATAACAATGTCCCTTATTATTCAAGATTCTGTCCTTTTTGCTACAAAAATAATCTTAATTTAATTGAAGATGAAATATATGTTTTACTTTATTGTAAAGCCTACTTAGATATAAGAAATAAGTTTCTGGGTAAATATTTGAAACATTCTATTTCACAACACAGCTTTATAAACATAATGACTTCAACAAACATAAATGTTATAAATAATTTGTGCCTATTTTTATATAATGTTGGGAAAATAAGAGATTCTGATGTTTTTTATGTAAAACCAGAGATAATCTACAACGTTATATAGTCTCCCTGGTAAAACGCATGTAACTTCTTATCACATTTATGAATGTATTTTGGGCCAGTGGCCCATTACTGAATAAAATGTCTGTCTGTCTGTCTGTCATTTGTCTATTGCACCACACGTTCTTCTTACCGAGTCACTTTCTCAGTTCGATACTTAAAAGCAATGTCATTATTTAGCGTTAGATAGTTAGTTACTTAGTTAGTTAGTTACTTAGTTAGTTAGTTTCTTTATTTAGGGACTGTTCACAATTTATAGCTAGGGGGGTGATGATGATTTTAAGGGGGGCACCCATTTTGTTCTGGCGAGCTAGGGGGGTCATCAACTTTGTACACACTAACTAGGGGGTCATCAATTTTGTACATAAAAATATGTTTAAAATTATGCTTAGAAATTATGGGTAGGGAAGGGGGGTCATTGATTTTGTGCATGACATGCAGGGGGTCACTTATTTTGTATATAAATTTTAGGGGGGTCATTCACATTGTACATGCTTCTCCATAAAAATCATCATCACCCCACCCCCAAGGCGGCCGCATACCAATTATAATATCAGAGTAGTAAATGCAGTGGCCTCATACTCTGTACACATTATATATTTATAAGTTATACCGTAGGTGAGGGGTTCAATGAACACATGTCTCTGAAATAAACTCTGTTCTGTTCTGTTCTGTTCTGTTCTATTATTCAGTTAAAAAGCGCCTGGTCTAAAGCGCCAGGCTAGTGATCCAGCGAGCTTGAGGTGACGGGATCGAGCCCACCCGTGACCGGGTGTAAAATCCTTGGAGTCAACTTTGTGTGCAGACTCTTTCAGTGTTGTCACAACTCCTAATGTACACCCTGTGCACTTAAAGGAACCCACGAATCCACTGGTATATGACCAGACGGTGACCACATGAATACGTGCAAACACCTAGTTGCGGGTACAGCAACGTGCAGTAAACTTGGACAAAGTACTGTGACTATGTGTCCCAGTCCACCCGGCTGGGAATGGGTACCTTGTAAGGATGGGAAAGCCACACTAACTCGGTGCGCCTAGTGGCGGCAAGAGTTGTATGATCCCCAGGTATTTGAGATTGATGATACGACGTGCCACCACTTGCTTGACAACGACATTAGAATCTATGTCGAAACGTCGCCTATATACAATAAAGAAGTTATATATCCATAAAAATAGTCCTCATTCTTAATATTAATACTACGTGCCCTTGAGATTGACACCCAAAGCGCCTTTGAGCAGCTGAGCTGGATATCGGCACTATACAAATGTTAGTGTGTATGCATTGAAAAATCCTCTTACGCATTTGAGAACCCTTTACCCAGTTAAGAAGACATGCAGCCAATACAAGCCTCCCCTTTCATAAATGAACTTAGCTTCTCTTAATGTGTTAACATGGTCTGATAGGCCTCAGACCACAGTTACCCCCCTTTACTTTTACCATGACCCGGAAGCAAAATAGGAGAATATAGTGCCTTGTTTAAATGGGCTGTTCTGTCTGTGCTAATTTTCTCAGGGTGATTTGTGGTAGCTTAAATGAAAGGTGAGACATTGTACTTTATTGCAAATTTTTTTTGGTCCACAATCTGCACATGGTATTGGCACCAGCCTTCCATGATTTGACCCCAAGTTCAAGGTTGTTTAGTGTGTTTCCGGCTCGAAACCTCCGGTGACCATAGTTGACAGTGGATACAGCAAAATTGAGGTGGTCGACCCAGGCCGATATTTTGCTGGTTAAGTGACAAGTGGCAGGTTGGTCAGCATGCAACAGGAAAACAGCCTACGACCGATATTTATTATGGTAGACTGGCATGTAACTGTACATAGCCAATAGGGAAAATAATTGTGGTCTGAGGCCTGATATGGTGACGGTAGTGCAAGTGTTTAATTTGCTATATCTCTGTTATTTTTCAAAATATTGTCTTGAAACTTCGCATATGTATTGGCAGGAACATTTGAAATATGTATACATGTGTTTTCAACTTAAAATATATTTTTAATTTTTTTTAATGAATTTATTTCAATTTTCTGAATGCATATTGTTTAGTGAGTGAGCGGACGCATCATATTTAGTCATATTCGTTCCATAATGGTGAATGTATGTATCACTACACTGCACGTGCCTTGTTCATGCATGTATTACCTAAAATGTCAAATATTCAAGCCTTTTTCAAAAGGTATAGAGATAAGTTTTTGAAGACACCTGTCTGCTCAACATAGCATCAATGCAGACAGAGTGGCCTGTGTAAACAGGGGGTATGTGTAAAGTGCATGCACCATTCCCGGATTGCCTTTTGGAATTGAAGCTATAGATGAACACAATAACAAAGACAAAGTATGTTAAAAATACTATATCATATAATATAGTAAAATTTTATTTGTACACTAGTGTACTAATGATAATACCTCCGTTTCAATGGTATTATACTTGATTCGCGGAAAGCTGAGAGATGTATTTAAACATAAATTTGCACAAAGTTGGTAACATAAGCAAGTAATTAGCTTATAGAGTTCTGCAGCATTACTGCACATTTTGAATAGGAATGTTCATGTTTTTTTGTTGAAACATGGCACAGGATCTAATTGGCCCTTTCTGTAGTCCCCGCTGTGTTTGTCGGTCTGTTTAGACTTTAAATGTTCACAGATTTTGATTCCGTGCTGTACAAGTTTCCTTTTGACAACACTAGGACTTTTCTCATATTCTTTGTGATAGGCAGCCTCTTTGTCCATTTGCTCAAGTGACTGCACAGCCCGACTTGAGAGTTTGACTCCAGAATGGTGGCACTTGTCGATTGATGATGTCCCAAGGCCATTGTTGAGCCTGTGAATAGTCGAGGAAGCCCTCCCAATCATATTCCTTGAAAAGTTTACGTTCTTTGGCAAAAAATACTCAGGGATCGATTGGCGGCTTCACATTTCTGGGTGTCTGTGTAGAATTTCATTTGTTCCACAACTTCAACACTCAGCTTCATTTTGAGAATTTCATGAAGTAAGTGTTTATCGTTGTCATCCATGTTGAAATGTGTAATATTGTTGCAGCCGAGGAACATAGAGCGCTGCCACCAGCTGTTTGTTACACCTCCTCGACACACAACTGAGTACCGGGCACACCTGGAGCAGTCGCCGCTGTAGCACTTCAGGGTAGCTTCGAGCACTCGAGGTAACATGCTACTAAGTGTTTTCATGTCGCCAGCATGATCCTTCATCAGTTCTTTTAGTATAAGGCTGCACCGTGCTTTTACATCCTGACTCAGGACCTTCTTTGCTTCGATTTTCTGTGTACGTGCAGTGCCAGGGAACATGTCTGGGTTAAAATCAGCTCTGTAGCATTGTCGGAACTGTCCTTGGAGCCAAGTGGGTCGGGTCAGCTAGTCTTTGCACCTTCCACATTGGGTCCAACACTTTCAGAGCTTTGTCTAGTCCATCTGCACACCTGGAATCCCCATCGGTAGTTGCATACTTTATAAACACACCCTGTAGTGCGAGCTGATTTCCAATGTCTTGTCCCATGTTGAACTCAGACAATGGAGTGAAAGCCGACATATTTGCAGTACAGTCTGGGTGCCCCCCTGGACATTTCACATCCATGCCCTTTCCTTTCAGCCAGGCACAAGTCCAGCAGAGCTTGTTCTGGAATGAAGCACTGATTATAAACTTATTGTCGGTTACAGTTTCGCAAGCGATGCCGATTGCTTGTGATGCATTCTGCCCTGGCTTCTTCCTGCTTACTATTGTCGTCGAGTTGTATCGGCCATCCATTGCAATGTTCACTTCACATGGCTTTGTACCCTCTTTCGATTAACATCCTTCACTAATTCCACCTTTTCAGCCATATCCTTAGTGTTAAGTTCAGTTACAACCTTAGCCACCTTGTTTGAGGTCCTTTGCATACTGCTCCTGCATGTAGGTGGAATGTCCATGTTGGCCATAATCAGCCTCGCTCTCTTATTTCCTATGGGTGTGTCTTGTAGACCCAAGGCAAGTCCGACGTTAGGTGCTGCTGGGTTTGGTCCAGGTTTACCCGTCTGGATTTCCTTGTACAATTTCATTTCGGGTGCTACAAAGTCACACATGACACATTTCAGTGTTATTTTCCAACACATACCCCATTTTCTCCTTGGCTATGTGCAGCTGAGGGTCATCACAGTTAGTTGATGTTGAGCGATGCAGCCGCAGAGCTGTGTTCCATGCTTCAGCCACCTTTTCAATGTCGACTAGTCGCATACCCTGCAAGTCATGTTTGCTATACTCTTGTTTCAGGTCAAGCTTGCTGGCTGAAGTAGGACGCAGAAGCATCACTGAAGTAGATATACCTTCACAGTCAGGCGTTGACAGCTGAGTTCCAACCAGCCTTGACTTGGTGACCAGGGAGAAGTCTTTGCACTGAACCTAGTCACAGTCCTGGGTATCTTGGGTGGAGAGGCACTTTCACACTCTTCTGATTCAAGGGTGAGATCTTTGTTCCAGGGAGTATGGCCTTGGCTGAAATGTGACTTTATTCGCTTGCGGTCACCTTTCATGGTGATTGTCCTCAACTGAACTAATGATAGAAACTGTGTACAGTGTGATGATTCTCAGCTTACTGCAAGCTGCATGACATCATAATGGTTTACAATTATGACGTCACAGGGTATTAGCATTATGACGTCATAACTGTAAACCATTATGACGTCATAATGCAGTTGAGCTATACACACAGATTGACACTTTGGCTTTGGCCTGGTGAGAGTGGTGACGCCTGGTGACTCGCTGCACTTGACTGGCTGTACACAGCTTCTTGAGCTGCCAATCAATTTATTGAGAAAAGATAGGGCTTTCTAATGAATATAAATTTAACAGTTTCATTTTTTAATTTATTTTTAAATATGAACTTTAATGGAATTATTTTAGTATAAAATGCATGTATGTATATAAAAATAAACAAAAAATTGAAAAAAATTCTTTACCAGACTGAACTGGTGTGTTTAGATAGTATATGCAATAACAAAACAGGGACACTTGATGTTTTGGTCAATTTCCTTGTGGTTATGGAGTTATATACAAAATAGAATTGTATTTCAAATGAATTCATGCCAAAAAATGAACACTCAAATGCCAGAGGTACAGCATGATTTGCAAGGGGTATAAGTCAAGTTGTGTATGAGTGAGGGCTTTCAAATTTTTTGTGAGCCTTACATAGTGTCTGGTCTTAGTATTGATGAAGTTTTATTTAATTTGCAGATTTCTTTTAGTCCTGATAGGCCTCAGACCACAGTTACCCCCCTTTACTTTTACCATGACCCGGAAGCAAAATAGGAGAATATAGTGCCTTGTTTAAATGGGCTGTTCTGTCTGTGCTAATTTTCTCAGGGTGATTTGTGGTAGCTTAAATGAAAGGTGAGACATTGTACTTTATTGCAAAATTTTTTTTGGTCCACAATCTGCACATGGTATTGGCACCAGCCTTCCATGATTTGACCCCAAGTTCAAGGTTGTTTAGTGTGTTTCCGGCTCGAAACCTCCGGTGACCATAGTTGACAGTGGATACAGCAAAATTGAGGTGGTCGACCCAGGCCGATATTTTGCTGGTTAAGTGACAAGTGGCAGGTTGGTCAGCATGCAACAGGAAAACAGCCTACGACCGATATTTATTATGGTAGACTGGCATGTAACTGTACATAGCCAATAGGGAAAATAATTGTGGTCTGAGGCCGTCTGTTGCACGCCGAGAATCGATCGATTAGCACAGAACCACTCAAGCATGAGTCGACTGAGTCTGGCTAACTGTTCAAAATTGGACGAATTAGGCCGTAAACCGGCAAGACGTGCTTATTTACAGGCTACCGAGATGTAGCTGGAATATTGCTGGAATATTGCTGAGCGCGGCGTCAAACAACAATCACTCAGTCTTAAACTGTGGAGTATTTGCTCACAGGTCATTATGCACTGATGAGGATTTTGGACTATTCAATGTATATTTAACCCCTTGGGCCCAAACTTTTATTAGAATTTATATTTATATATTCAGCTTCAATGCTGTTTCAGGAGACGCCTAATTTGTATCTGTTCGTGTGCTGCCCAAAGTGTGTAACGGGTTGCATAATTTCACGATATTGATTTCGACGACTAATTAACAATAGGAGACGTCGGGCCTTGTATCTGAATTATTTAAAGGTCGGCTGGAGTTCGTGTTCGTCAGTCTGCGCTTGATTGGTGAATATAAATAATTAACTGTGAAAAATCCTTGCGCGTAGGTTTCAACGGATGCAGAGGATAATTTGTTGTATTATTCTCCGTTTCTTTAATGTCCTTGTATTACTCTCTGTCTCTTTAATGTCCTACCATATGTCATAATGGGTGGAACCCCATTAGTCACACACCAGTCCTATGATCCCTTTGTTATACGCGTTAAATAAACACATGTCATGGTTCATTGGTCTTACATATTAACCCTTAGTACCTCTGTAGGTAATGGAATGACCCATGATGTCAGATTCAGGTTCTTTAGACAGTAACGACTTGGGCTATATGTCTGTAAATAATCTCGTCATCATTGTACAGTGTATACAGGATAGAATATGGTTATCCGGTTTTCTTTTAAAAATAGGGTTTAATAGCTGTTTAAAATACGATTCAAAACAATTGGTATGCAGAGTAGACGTATTGACTTTTGTTTGACTGTCAGCTGGATCTCACACAAGAAAAGCGGACGAGTCTATTGTATCGTAGTATGAGGCTTGTTGTTTTAATTAATCCAGCCCGTTCCGTATGACCTGTGGCCGTATGAGAAATGGGCGTATGACTAATCGGCTACAACTGTCATAATGTCACCAATTCATTACGGAGACAAAGACAATAGTTTATTAACGTCTCATGTCTGTACAAAGCTAAAATATACACACAATTGTACATACAAGTCATTTATAAAAGTGTCCAGAATCATTCAAAATAAAATTATGAGAGCCATACATTTAAAAAAGATAAAAACAAGGTTTAACCCTATAATAACTCTTTTCTGCGTTTTAAAATAAGGACGCAGATTTTGGTTGTATTAAGACATAATGCATGTAGAAGAATCACTAAAAATAAAACACATTTTATCAATATCACATTTATCTAAAAAATGTCATCAATTGGCTGACGTCAATAACAGCGCCTCGTCTGCTCACGAACTTGAAGGTCGGTGGTTTAAAAGTTTCAGTCAAGACAATTTTAAACAAGTTTAGGACTCAAATATTTGTACACATTTAAACTCGGATTCAACACTCTTTAAATAGTAGTTATCAAACAGACACATTTGATGGAAAGGAGTGAGTGAGTTTAGTTTTACGCCGCACTCAGAAATATTCCAGCTATATGGCAGCGGTCTACAACTAATCGAGCCTGGACCAGACAATCCAGAGATCAACCGCATGAGCATTGATCTACGCGGTGTTGGCCTGGGAAAGTGACATTTCAATTTTTAGTATACCCGGTAAAGTGTTAAACCAAGCGTTAAAGACTCAAATACTTTTACACATTTGAACTGTCTCGGGAAATTATTTATAAACTTTAGTACAATAATATCTGATGCATAAGATGGATTTAGAAACGGGTATTCTACAGTGGACCATATTTTTACAATTTATCACGTCTCGGAACTGCTAAAAAGTATTAAAAGAAACTCTATTGTGCTTTAATTGATTTCAAAAAAGCCTCTGATACTGTCTAGGGGTGGGACTTTGGCTAAAGTTATTCATAACATGCATCAAAATATCAAATCTTGTGTATCATGTAATGGAGTGAAGACCAGTTTCTTCCCATGTACGTCTGGCGGTCGTCAAGGTGAACATTTACCACCGATACTATTTACAATAAATCTGAATGATCTTGAATATAATCTACAAAATGACAACTGTAAAGGGGTCGAATTACATCCTGATGGCTTTAACAACTAATTAGAAAGTACATGTAATCAAAATTGAAATAAAATCGGTCGGAGTCCAAAATATTTGCAGTGAAATGATTTGCCATATATCAAATATATCAGTTCAAATATATGACGTATCAATAGTATTAATTTATCTATATTAACTACGGCACGGTCCAATAAAACTCTAAATCATTCAAATTCTATTGTCTCTGATGTTCTTACTCAGTGCCGCCCCAATTAAAAATCACTAAAGCAAAAACTATGGCAAACTATGGCCGGTGAAGCCCCACTGTATTCTACCTATATAATTTGAAATATCGCTTTCCCGGCCCATAACCATCCACGCAATAGGGATAAGATTACATGTCTGTCTGTCTGTCTGTCCCTGTACTTCCCTGGGGCGGTTGCAGTCTTGACAGTCGGCGTTTCTCAGTCCAATTGTATGCAGCCAACATGAAAAGTGCTGTGTTTGGGCTCGTGAGTGAAAACTACCGGCAATCGCCAAAGCTAGCTACTAAGCTTCTTTGCATAGAGTTAATTCTATTTGTACATTTGTACTGCCTCAGCCGATTACCTCGCTTGATATATCATACAGGCAGAGAGAGAGAGAGAGTTGTATAGTTAGACTCTGGCTAAGTGAGAGTGAACCCTATATAACTATACAACTCTCTCTCTCTGCCTGTATGATATTTCAAGCGAGGTAATCGGTTGAGGCAGTAAAAATGTACAAATAGAATGGTTCACTCTCACTTTGCCAGAGTCTAACCAAAATGGTCTTGTAAAGACAACATTGCACTATGGCTAGGTGAGAGATGCGAGCCAGGTACTTAGCATTAGCCACTGAAGCGTGAGCCTTTGTTCAAGGGTTATAGTCGGTGGAATCTACTAATGCCTACAGGGAATAACGCCTACAGTCTTAAATAAACATTTGACGCACCAGTCATTGAGTCATTTACGCCAACTTAATCAAATGTCCACCCTGTTGTCTGTTGTACCTTGTCGCTCTGGAGACGTAGTTGACCAGCTGAGTCAATTTCCCTCCGACTACATTGGATAACGTCCAAGTTCACCGAGGATAGACGGTTAGAAGCATATTTTCCAAAGTTGAGAAATCTTTTAAAATACGTCATTTGAATCCTTTCTGTGAATCGATTTCTATGGGTTTGCCATGGTTAGCAAAGAAGACTTTGGTTACAAGCATTTTAAAGCAATACATTTCCTTCTCAATAAGAAAAGTCTCTCTCAATAAATGAAACATTTCCTTCTCACTTTGTTTTATCCCTCAATATGTTTTTCTATCCTTCAACCGTGTGAGATGAAGCACAGCCTCTGCTAATTGCTCTTTGCCCTCTACTCCCCTAATCCCGTTGTAGGCATTAGTGCACACTAACCGGTACAGTCCACTTGTGTGCAGGTAAGCGTA